GAAGGGAACTCCCAAGGCTACGATTTATTGTCTTGTAAGGCATTGTTCTTGTTCTTTGCCTGACTAATTCTACAAATGTCCATGCCTCAAGCTAGTCTTATTAGCTTACTTATTTATTCATTAATAGGTTGAATAAAAGCTTTATAAGTGTTTGTTTTGTGGTTGCCTGGAAGTGATGTGTTTCTTTTTTAATATATTAACTTTTTGAAAAGTATTCTTTGCCACTTGCTAATTTTCTCTAGGTGGCCTTGGTGGTTCCCTGGTAGAATTCTCCCCTTTCCCTGTGGGAGGCCTGGGCTTGATTTCCAGCCCACACACCTCCTGGGCAACCACTACTCATTTGTTATTATTGGAAGTTCATGGGAAAGAGAGCTGACGGCGCAGTGGTTATATGTTGGGCTGCTAACCCCAAGTTCAGCGGTACAAAACCACCCACTGCTCTGTGGGAGAAAGGGGCTTTCTTCTTCCTTAAACAGTTAATCGTGGAAACCCACAGGGGTAGTTCTACCCTGTCCCATAGGGTCACCATGAGCTGGAATCGGCTCGGTGGCAGGGAGCGTGCTGCTGAATCCGTCTCGTGGGAACTTGTAGACAAAGCGGGCCTGGGAAGAAAGGCCTGGGGACCCCCTTCTGAAAATCAGCCCACTCATCTGTCTCATCGGGCACTGACTGTGGGACTGGAGCAAGACGGGCACTGTTTCGGGGTTGCCGTGAGTTGCTGACAACAATTCTCCATGCCTGGGGATCAAACAATGAAAGGCACAAAAGGTGTCCCGGAGAGAAGGCAGGGAGCCCTGCTGTTGGATGGCTTGATGCCTTGGCTTGCCCGAGATTCGAACTGACCAGCTAGCTCGATCTCCCTCAGGGGGCTGGTTCTCTGAGCCCCGTGCCAGGTTGTGCACGGAATGCTCCAGCAGTCAGGCTCCTACCTGGCGGGGAGAGCTTGCCCTGCTGTCTCTGCTGGCTACCCAGTGTTCACAGCCTAGAATGGCTTCTTCCCCTTCCCAGCTCGCCGCTTTTCTCCTCCCTCCCCACCCTAAGCCCTGTTAACAAGGGTACTGATGGGGCCTGTGGCAGCTACTCAAAGCTGGCCACCCCAAGCAAGCACAGACTTTCTTTGAAGCCTTCTTACAAAGTCCCACACATCTTAAGTTCCCTTCCATGCCTGCCGCGTGACTGGGCGCGTTAAGCATCACACAACACCAGCCTATTGAAGCGCTCCACCCTGGGTTTATCTGGTGGCGGAGGAGGAGGAAGAGGAGAAGGATGCCCTGAGGTGGGTGACATCAGCTCATTTTACTTAAGAAGCAACTATGCTTTCAATGAAAGAGCTAAGTGGCCTTGCCTGAGGTCACACACAACCCACCAAGGCTTGAACCAAAGTGCATTCCATGCGGGCCATGGTTTATGATTTTCTGTTGAGATGGGAGCTGGAAACGCCTCGTGACCCAACAGAACACCACCACCCAGGAGGTGGTCTAGAAGGAGACTGGAACTTGCCCAAAGTTCCACCAGGAGGAAGATGCAAGAACATCATCCAAAGCAAAAATTGATCAGGGTCTCCTGCCAGAAGCAGGGTCCCCTCTCTCCCCCAACCAGGTTATTGTTACAATTATCAGCTGTTCTCGACCCTTAGGGGGTCAAATGACCCTTTCACCGTGGTCACCAGATTCATAACAGCAGCAAAATTACAGTGATGAAGTAGCAACGAAAATAATCTTATGGTTGGGGGGAGGTCACCACACTATGAGGAACTGTATTAGGAAGGTTGAGAACCACTGCTCTGGGGTCTACAGTGGACAGAACCTTAAACCCTACTACCATTGAGTCAATTATGACTCATCATGACCCTGTAAGACTGAATAGAACTTATCCCTAGGGTCTCTGAGGTGGTCAATCTTTACTGGGACACACAGCCTTGTATTTCTCCAGGAGAGTGGCTAGTGAGCTTGAACCACAGACCTTGCCATTAGCAGTCCAATGAGTCACTACAGTGCAATGAATTATTTTAATATGGCTCTTCTGGCCATACATAGCTTTTTGTGACTCCCACCAAGAGACTTTCCTGATCAGTCTAGATAAAAAGCTGTGGGGAGAGACTGATTGGATTCTATGGTCCAGTTATGAGTGGTTGTTACCAGGATTAACTGTGATTACTATTCTGCTGGGTATAAAGTTAGCCACCTCAGGAGCAGGTGAAGGTGGAGAATCTCACTGCCAGCAAGAGAGAAGAGCCAGGAGTGGTGCATCATTTGGATCTGCAGACCCTGGCATGTTGAACTGGGAAACAGGTTTGATACCAGAGCTGTGTCGGAGAAGTAGCAGGAGCTGGAGCAGGAGACAGGGGGCAGGAGGCTGGCTTGTGGACTGGTGTATCTCTGGGTACTTAATTGCAGGAGCTGACTTTGCTGATCTAGGGAGCTGGAGCCATGTGCCTTCAGGCTGAGGCTTATGGTGGAGTGGCATGCCCTTTGGGCATTTACTGGCAGCCTTAAAAATGCTGTGTAATACTTCCCAAGCAGGGCAGAGACCAAGCTAAGTAGCTGAGGGCCCGAGAGAGGCCTGCCTATGGGCACAACTGTCCTGGCTGAATAGTTGTACCCTGAGTATTCCTCACATAAATTGTAATCTGATAGCTTCCCTAAGAAACCCCGTAATCATGAGTATGACTTGTGAGTTGTTTGGCTATTGCAATGAATCATCTAAGGCAGCCACAGAAGTAGAGTGCTGTGAGAGGGACGGTTGGTGTCAAGCTAGCTTTAAGAAGGATGGAGGATTGTCTGGCTTCTGCCTCCTGGCAATCGACCTTGAGAGCCTGAGGCAATTGACCTTGGGAGCCCTGTGTGGTTTCTGTAATTAGTGCAGTGAGCAGGGTTCATTGGTTTTAATGGCTATAGACTCATGGAAACATGGGACTCTTTAGGGAAGAGAACCAAAGGTGGTATGAGAAATAAAACTTAGGTGGTTGCTTTAGTTATTGTTAACCTCTACTAATGGAAGGTCAGAAATGATATGCTGCAGCTGAGGGGAGAAAGGTCTTCTGGAGTTGTCTGGGGCAAAGGCTAGGCTCAGTGAGCTATACTTGATTGATAAGGAGCCCAGGGTCTACTGGATCTATGCTGCCAGAGGCCCGAGACAATATGCACATAAATGGAGCCACAGTCCAGGGGTGGGAAAGAGAAGATTACATTTACATATTATCAAAAGGATTAGGGGCTACACATTTATTGACTGTTATGGATATTGAATGTTTCTCCTACCTGGTATTGCACAGAGAGCTTGTGAGCCCACTTCTAGCCTATACTTGATGGGATATGCTAACAGGGGAGTTAGGAATTTCCTGGAAGGAAGAGGCTTTATTAAGCCAGTGGCCTATGTAGTGTTGAGAGCCTGGAGTCCCACCCGGAAATGTTGAGAGACCAGGAGACTTACATGTGAAGGTAAGATTTGGGGGTGGGAAATCAATTAACTAACTTTTGATTTACAAATTTTGAGCAAGCAGTTTGCCACTGGATGCATGGATGCACGAAAAGTCTGTGCCCATCATAGGAAGCCCCCTTCTAAGACTGAAAGTTAAAGGGAGCCAGGGAGCAGGCAGCCTGGTAGGTTTGTTGTGGCAACCACCGGGGTCCATTTGTTTGATGGAAGTGGGGGTGGGGGAGGGCACACGGCAGTGAAGAGTCAGGTTGAGTTTAGAAATGCTCCATAGAACCTGTTGGTCTAGTTCACAGGGGCAAGAGAGGACAGAAAGGTTTGGCTGGTCTGAAGTTTAAAGAGTAGTGGCTATACTGAGCCTATGGACATGACCTAGGAAGCTAGGGCCAAGATAGAGTAAGAAGGTGCCAGGGAAGGGTGTGTGGACGCTCAAGTTTGCAGCTGGTATCCAGTTGACCTCGCTTGGATGGCTAGGGCTGAGATGACCAAACGAAGAGAGAGATGTTTCACACTGTGAGCTGGGGTAAACTGCTGAAGTTTCATGACTTGCCCCGGCTGGACTTTGCTTATGAATATAGATGACCAAAGTTCCCAATGGGACTACAGAGCCTGCAAATGGGGAGCACGCTTGTCTCCGCAGAGCACGGGTTGGCTAGGGATGGTGATTTTTAAGCAGTGGCTGGCTTACAGGCTTTTTATGTAAGATGTTGAAAGAGGAGGAAGTTATCCTTTCATGCATGAAAAGGACAATGTCTAGAAGAGCCTGCAACATCATAGTGAACCATTTCTTTGTGGTGACGATGATTGTACAACTCTTCTTGACATGAGTGAATTATTGAATTGTATGACATGGATGAGGTGCCAGTAAAACTGTGACTCATTTAATACAGTCACCTACGGTGTCCCACCAGGCTCCTTGGGGGCAGGAAACTGGGGGTCAAGCTCCAGCTTTAGACTAGATCACAACTCTCTTTGGAGTCTGTTTTGAGGTTTGTAAAACAGGCCAATTATTGAGAGGCTTTAAAAACACAAAGGTTGGCAGGGCAACTTACAGATTTTCACAAAAGTGACGAATCAACGTTTATTGTGGGGCTCTGCTGTCAGAACGCTTAGCTCACATTCCAGGTTTCCCCACTAAAATAGGACAGATGAACCCCTCAGGACCAGTGGTGAGAGTGGTGATGCCGGGAGGGAGGAGGGAGGATGGGGTGGAAAGGGGGAACCAAGTACAAGGATCTACACGTAACCTCCTCCCTGGGGGATGGACAACAGAAGAGTGGGTGAAGGGAGACGTCGGACAGTGTAAGATATGATAAAATAAAAATTTATAAATTATCGAAGGTTCGTGGGGGAGGGGGAGCGGGGAGGGAGAGGGGGAAAAAGAAAAAGTAAAATGGGGAGCTAATTCCAGGAGACCCGGCAGGGGGCGGGTGTTTTGGGAATGATGAGGGCGGCGAGTGTGTAGGTGTGCTTTGCACAGTGGGCGTGTGTGTGGATTGTGGTGGGAGTTGTGTGGGCCCCAATAAAATGATTTAAAAAAAAATAGCCTTGGGTAGATTTCTGTGCTTGAGCTTTCTTACAGGTGAAATAGAGATGACAACTGTAAGGTGTGATTAATAGGGTTATTGTAAGGATTCAAGTCTTCGGAACAGTGTCTATCATCGTCATGGCTCAATATGGCTAGTTAGCTAGTATAATTAGTTAGCTGACACGCCTAGCTAGCTGCTTTCTAACCCTAGCGTTTTCGGGTCCCCTGCAAGCCCCGCCCCTGCAAGCCCCGTCCCTTCCAGCCTGCCCTGCCGCCAGCCCTATTCGGCCCCGCCTCCTACTTACCAAAGTCCCGCCCTCGCTGGCGGTGCTTCCTCCAACCACTAGGAAGCGGCGGAGCTGAGGACCAGTTTCTGGGCGAATCGGGCGACACTCTGGGTGGTGGCAGCGTCTCCTCTGTGGCCTGTGGCGGCGGCGCTCTAGCCGGCGGGTGTGCGGGCGGGTTCTCAGTGGTGCGGCCGGCGGGCGGCGA